CCCTATGAAGTCTCGGTTGCAAATGAGGTAAGCAAAAGAGTATGACTTTGTTAATTAAAGTAGTTGTTGTGTTCATGTCTTTATATAGTACTTTGAATGGTTAGGAGATGTAATTGGACTTTGATTGGTATCATAACCAAGTCCATTACATGGACGTTTTAGGAAACTAAGCTTCCCGAAGAAAATAATTACAAATTTGGTTGCGTGGCAAAAGTATTTACAAAAATAAGCTTCTGGGGTAAACCGCTGCCTCGGGTAGCGTTTTACCCTCTATTTTTTTTTAAAAAAAATTCTGCTACAAAAACGCTGCCCCAGGCAGCGTTTTTATAGTTAAACTTTTTTTTTTCCTCGTTTATTTTTTTTTAAAATTAATTAAAAAAAAAGGCAACAGCATAAAACGCTGCCCCAGGCAGCGTCTTATGCTTGAACATAAGACGCTGCCTGGGGCAGCGTTTTACCTGGTTGGCAGCACCAAACCAGTTTCTTGCCCCAACCCTCAACATCCTTCCAACACCACCCCCAACCTCCTTCCACCACCTCCAACCCCTTTCCACTACCGCCCTCCACCACCACCGCCTTCCACCACCACCACCACCTTCCACCACCTCCAACCCCTTTCCACCACCGCCCTCCACCACCTCCAACCATCACCTCCACCACCTTCCACCTTCCACCACCACCGCCTTCCACCACCACCGCCTTCCACCACCTCCAACCACCACCTTCCACCACCACCTCCAACCATCACCTTCCACCACCGCCTTCCACCGGCTTCCACCGCCTTCCACCACCTTCCTCCACCGCCGTCCACCACCTTCCACCCCGACCTCCCACCACCACAACCACCTTCCAACAACCGTCCACCACCACCTCCAACAACCTTCCACCACCACCACCTCCAACAACCTTCCACCTCACACCACTACCTTCCACCACCACCGTTGACAAGTCAATATATACATAAATCAAAACATATTGGGAAACAAAGAACATAACACACAAATGTTGACCGAAAAACATTTATTATATTAGAAATGTAAATGTTATATACCTAATCTATACAAAAATTTTACTACATGAAATAACTAAGCTAACACTATCCCGATTCATCTATCCGGGGCAATTGATCTAGGTCAGGTTGCTCGGCCCTCTGTCTGACACGCCGCCGCCTGTAATGAGTAATGGTGGTGAATGGGTCTAGAGGCGGCGGGGGAGTCAGCTGGCTGGTATCTGGCACCTCCTGGGAGCTGGACGGCGCAGTGCTGTGGAAGGTGTAGTCCTCTGAGAATGTCGGCGTCGTAAAATCACCTCCACAACTACTCTGTCCGAGCTCGAACTGCGAATGCATCGAGTGGCCATCATACGTGTCCCGTCGGGGGACGAGGTAGTCGTGTCCATATCGACGCAAGCTGGCCATGCCCATATCCCGAACCCGCTGGACCTCGTTCCCGGTGGGCCCGTCAGCCAGGCTAAGGGACAGCGCGTCAACCATCGATGCCATGTCTGCCGCCTGCAATAATCATTGATCAGTTATGCATAGAAACCTAAAAAGAGATGAAAATTAATCGGTTGGAAGTGAAACTCACATATCCATAAATCACGTCATATGCTGGATGGTAATGGGTGGAAGGAGGTGTGTAGCTGGGGTTGATGAAACGCCAGGTAATCCGCTGGTACCAGACCATGTACGGATCGTGAGGCTGGAGGACGCCCTGCATCGGTACACCGCCCACAACGAACTCCAGTCGGCGATGCCAGAGCTCTACGTACGCACGATGCTCCACCGACCAATCCGTCTCTGCCTTTCCTCGTCGGTCAACCCCGTGCAAACGAGTGCTGGTGTCACATGGCTGAGGGACCGGCTGACGTATCCCATATTGCCGCAAGACCCGGTCAGGGAGGTGACTCTCCACAACCTCAAAACAGATCACCGGGGTCCGAGCACCCACTCTGCCTCATGCTCCAGCAAATGACCAGGCATGGCCTCCACTAACTCAGGAAGGTACGGATCCCATGTCACCTGCACATACACATCAAAAAAACGTCAGTGAACGCTAAACACATCAGACAGTAGAATAATGAGTACAAGTGAAGAAATACCTGGTCCTCAGTAAGTCGATCGAAGGCGTCTCGGTAGTACGGTAGACTCCTCGCCGCATGGGAAAGTGTGAGTCTAGGGGCAACCCACCTGCATCCGTATCCCTCGTCAGGTGTAGGAAGAGGGGGAGCGTCGTACGCCTGGTACTGCTCGTCTTGATCCAGCTCCCCCGGTCGATGCCTGACTGGCCTACCTGGCCGCCCGACGTGGAGATGCTCCCAAGACCAGAACTGTTACACGAATTAAAACGTAAGTGTTTACTATTCATCTATTAAACTATTACACTAATTGGTGAGTTACCTGAAGGACGACCAAAGGACCTCCGATCTCGATTGCACCACGGTGGGACGCTCGGCATAGATGGCGATACAGTATCGCCAAACAAGCACTACCCCAGCTGTACGAACGGATATGGTCCCAGTCGTTGTCTAACAACTGCAGGTGTAGGAGCTGGAGGTGGCTACCGCTCTTGTTGCCGAACAACACGCCAGCGACCAAGAAGAACAAGTAAGCTCGGGCGTGTCTCTGAACGGCGGCGTCATCAACACCGTGATGAAGCTCGCCAAAGGTCTCTCGTAGCCAACCTATCCTCAACCCAGTTCCCCGGATATCTTCGGGAGCAGGCTGAACCCCAAGAACTCGAACTACAAGTCCTACAGGATCGACTAACGGGCGTCCTGTCACTGGAGTCCCGTGTATAGGAAGCCGCGTAAGTATCGCGACGTCACGCAGGGTCACAGTCGCCTCCCCTACAGGAAGGTGGAAGGAGTGGGTCTCTTGTCTCCACCTCTCCGCGAGCGCAGTCACAAGCGCTCGGTCGATGGCCCTGAAGGCCATCCTCAAGTTAGACGCTATGTGGCGAACACAAAACCTATGACAGGCTCGCGACTCAGTGAATCCAACGTAGGATCACTCATTGCTGCAATTATGCCTGGATGTCGATCAAATATAATGCACAACCCATCTCTTTGCGTGACATGAACCCGAATGCAACCCAGAAACCAAGACCAGCTAGAAGTGTTTTCCCCTTCCACCACCGCGAATGCTAGTGGAAATACCTGAAAGCTTGCGTCCACACTTGCAGCCACCAACAGTGTTCCCTTGTACTTCCCGTAGAGGTGCGTCCCATCGATGCAGATCACAGGCATGCAATGTTTAAAACCGTCAATACAAGGAATGACGAAGTGACGATGTTTGATGTCGAAGACCCAGGTTGCCCGGCCATTGCTGTATACGTCGCCCCATGTACAGGTGAAGCTATGTGAGAGCTGAACGGCATGTGAAATTGATCGTCGTTCAACATTCGACTAAAAGATCCCATCCCATATTCAGCCGGGGGAGTGTCGTGTGAGGGCACTTGCGGCTGTGTGTTGTTACCGGAAATAAATGTAGAATGTGGTTCTGCCCTGGTACTTTGTTGGGTACAAATAGGCACCATCTCCACATAAATCTCGGTGGGAACACCCTTCAACGCTACAACGCTCCTTAAAGCTTTCAAATGCTTATTCGAGGACACAGGTAACACTTGAACCCCATTCCCGGTCTCAAACCTCATTTTAATGTTTAGTTCAACACTCCCCGGGTTTGAACTAACGCTACTATGAACCTCGTTCATGAAATCACTGAAGGTCATGTTCGGTTCAAGTGTCAGTGGTTCCATATTTCCACCATTATACTCGACACGAGGTCCGTCAAACAAAAATTCACCTCCCCACCGGCACAACAAAACTACATTCTGTGCGGCCATATTCTACACAACAACCAAAACACATTACACTAAAACACACTAATCCATCTCTAAATCACATCCAACTAACCACTTTGGAACAACTAAGCATCACTAGGTCACCATTAACAAGCAATAATTCTAGAAATTCAAATACTTAACATCTTCAATATTTCAACACCAACAATTCTACATTATCCAAATTAATATTTAACAATCACAATTCATCAACTCAACCCTAAACCCCTAAATTCAACAAAAACCCCCAAAATTCAACATAAACCCTAGAAATTCAACAATTCAAGAAATTCAACAATAACCAATAATTCAACAACACTAACCAACAATTCAACAACACTAACCAACAATTCATGAATTCAACAACACTAACCAACAATTCAACAACAATATCCAACAATTCAATAATTCAACAACACTAACCAACAATTCAAGAATTCAACAAACATAACGAACAATTTGTAAATACTCAACTAATATTTAACCATACCTTGAATTGGATGTAATACGAAATTGGGTTGAAGAGGATTGAAGAGGAAATTTGGGAAGGGAAGGAAGAGGATTGCGAAGGAGGCGAAGGAATGAAGAGCAAACGTGATTGAAAACGAAGCTCGAGTTTCTGGTTTTACAACCAGACAGAAACGCTGCCTGGGGCAGCGTTTCATTAACAAGATAAGACGCTGCCTGGGGCAGCGTCTTATGTTTAAGCATAAGACGCTGCCTGGGGCAGCGTTTTATGCTGTTGCCTTTTTTTTTAATTAATTTTAAAAAAAAATAAACGAGGAAAAAAAAAAAAGTCAAACTATAAAAACGCTGCCTGGGGCAGCGTTTTTGTAGCAGAATTTTTTTTTAAAAAAAAATAGAGGGTAAAACGCTGCCCGAGGCAGCGGTTTACCCCAGAAGCTTATTTTTGTAAATACTTTTGCCACGCAACCAAATTTGTAATTATTTTCTTCGGGAAGCTTAGTTTCCTAAAACGTCCCCATTACATACCAACAAGGATGTAAAAAGACTTGGTTAGGATATCAACAGAAGATGTAAATTGACTTTGTTAGGATACCAACAAAAGGTGTAAATAGAGTTGGTTAGAATATTTGGTTTGTTAGGATACCAACAAATCCTTTTTAGTTTGGTTTATATGATTGGTTTATAGATAACAACTGCACTACTAGTAATTTGATTATTGTTCTTACTGTCAGAGTGTCAATAAAGTAAAAATAATTATTGTAAAGTTGGTTACAATACTTGGTTTGTTTTTAATTGTGTTTGTGTGTGTAGGTGTTGAAGCGTATGACCCCTGAATGGTTTTAGGAGAAGCTCACCCCATGGCTGCATCGGCTGGAGCAACTTTATAGCTCTGGGTGTAGGGTGGTTATTCGGGCTCCTATGGAGAGGAAAGCCGTTGACCCGGTATTGTCGATGTCTTCTTTAGAGTCGGAGAAATCTGGTCAGTAAAAACATAATGATGAGGCGAGTACTCTTGACGAAAGACTTGGAAAAGTTGATTATAAGGTTTTTATTGGTTATACAAAAATAGGTGTTAGAGATTTGATTCAAATTGTTGCCTATCAGGTCCAAGATGATGCACTAAAAGATGCAAAAGCAGTTGTAGCGGGGGTTAAGTCTATTGTAGCGGGGGTTCAGTCTGTTGGTGAGAAGCAGGCACCCTCCAAGGGACCTAAAAAGGGCGTGGGTAAGGCTGATGTTGAGGCTAACCTTGAGGCTGGTGCTGACCAAAGTGGGGAGCCAACTGTTGGGGTTGAAGTGCCACGTGTAGAAGAACAACCGCAAACTGAACTATATAGTTCATGGCATTAACTATGCAGACTTGGTGAGTCAACAGCAATGAAGTCCACAACAGAGGTTTTATATGGTTTTGTGATAGCCTGAAATACTTTAGTATGTTTTCATTATTGCTTACAGTTACTTTTATTGTTTTTCGTTGTAAAGACACATACTTTGGGTGTTTTTTTTTTTTGTTTTTATTAGTTCAAAACTTGTGAATGACTTTGGGTTGTTTGAATGGATTTTATTTATTGCATTTTTATGGTTTCATTTCAACATATTCAATGTTGTGGTCCGGTTGTATGTTATCTTCCAAGTTTAATATTTAAAGGTATATTTTGTGTGTTGGTGATGTGTCCGCAGAACTAGGGAGTAGGAGATGTTGATTTCAGTGTGGTTTTTGGTGGGAATGGTACGGGTAAAGTTGGTGGTTTAGAGGATGACCTTAGTATTGGTAATGGGGGTGCAGTAGTCCAAGACACGGGGGAAGTTCCAACAAAAGGAGGAAAGAGGAAAAGTGATCGTAGTGTTGGAAAACGACCTTGCAGACCCTCTAAAAAGGGATTGCAAATTGCCAAAAAGGGCGAAGTGCTGACGAAGGAGGATCGAAGAATCATTACTTATGTCCTTTCTTGGACTCCGAAAATGGAAAGGTATATTGGGTTTAGTTGGGGGAATCAACCATTTTTTGAATTCAAATGTATGCTTTCATTATAATTGATATTGAAAATATAAATGTGACATCTACTTACAACGATCCTACGTTGATTTAATGCGAAGGGCAGCAGGTATATATGGAATTTTGCCATGGTGTTATATGTTGCAGCAATCGTGCCGGGACGCAGTACGTCAGGGCTGCTACTAAGATGTACACGAAAGAGTGGTATGTGCAGTTCAAGGGACGTAGTAAGAGAGTAATGTTGGATCCTTCTGTTGCAGTATGTATTTTTTAATTGTTAGGTTGATTGTGTGAGGTGTTATGTGTTTAAGGTCCTTTATTGATTAGTGGTATATATATATATATATATATATATATATATATATATATATATATATATATATATATATATATATATATATATATATATATATATATATATATAAAATTTGCAAATCAGCTTACTAGATAAGTCTGGAACCTCTAAGGAAATTGGTGTGAAATATTGTCATGCTTTGCGTGATCTCCCGTCAAGGAATATAGTTGTTATGAGTTGTACTTGCTTTATAGTGTTAATATATCAGTTTATGCCATATTTTGATATATCTAAGAGATTCATTTCATTTCATTTGCAAAGGTATTTGTCTCCGTTCTCATGGAAGAACACTGGTGGTGTGTTGTGTTTCATTTGAAGGATGAGAAGATATGGCTCATAGATTCCATTAACCCAGAACCAGCTTTCACCCACGATGATGCCCTAGATGAGTTGGTATGAATGAGAATATAGTTACAGTTTATGGTTGGATTTATATCTTTCAATTAATATATAATAAAGAAACATGTATTCATTAAACCAGAGGGCCAGAATGGACAAGATTTTTAAGCACTATGACGAGACATGGGAAGAGGGACCTATCTTGACATAGCCGACAGAAGCCGTGGACAATAAAGAACCGACTGATGAGTAAGGATTGTTTTGCGTGTAATGTTACGTTGCTCATGTTTTGCATGGAGGACCTAACTAATTCATTGATATGCCGATTTTACAGCATTTGTTGTGGCCCTTTGATGCTAGCTTGCATTAAGAACTCTGTTGATCGGTTTCAGACCAAGTTCCGTTGGATATGCCACCTACGTTTGGTTTTGCAGTTAGTTTGACTAATTTCCTTATTATGGGTACTAAAATGAATTTTGGCTGAACTATTATACAGGAGACGGTTGAGATTGGTAGAGCGCGAGTTTTGTTGGGTGACCTACTATGCTCGTTCAATGAACGTCGAGCTGAGGTTCACAAGTTAGTGGAGGCTTGGGATAAAGAGAAAAAAGGAAGGGAAGGGAAATGATTTGAATGTATCTCAATACAGTGTAGTCTGTAATTATTTTTGTGGTTGAAAAATATGTGTACTGTGATGATGCTAGTAGGTGATGATGGTATTAGGGGATGGTAGTTTATGTTTGGACACTACATTTTTCCATGTGTTGGGTGATGGTAATATTTCAGATCATGCTGGTACACCATGATATGGTTTGATGATTTTGTTAGTATGTATGTCAAACTATGGGTGCATACCAATATAGGTAGCACTGTCAAAAACCGAACCGAAGTGGTGAAACCGAACTGGTTCAAACCGATCCGAATGAGAACCGAACCGATTAAAAACCGATTTTATGAAACCGAAAACCGACCCGAACTGCATGTTAGTAAAATCGAAACCGAACCGATCCGAGTAAACGTTAAACCGTTTAAGAACCGAACCAAATCTAACCGCACTGAAAGGAAACTGAACCGAAAATGAACCGAACCGTTTCTAACTCGAAACCGTTTGAACTGGCATAAAAACCGTTTACACCGAACCGTTTACAAACTACAACCCGTTTGCACCGAACCGTTTATAAACCGAACCGTTTATAAACCGAATTGATTATAAACCGAACCGCTTATAAACCGAACCGTTTATGAACCGAATATATCCCCCCACTAGTTTTCATATGCATTCAAGTATCATACAATGTGAAACTGGTATTTGAGACAGATAACAGTCTTCAAGAGTAACAAACAAAACAAAGATTAATCTAAACGTAAACATAAAACATCAATAGTGGGGTTACTGGGGTATCATCAACTAAAACTCATTTCTAAAACAGGTCGAGTTAAGAATGACGAAGGCAAAACATACCTGCAACTAGAGGACTCTAGATTAATTAATAGTTATATGAAGTATAATTTATTATGGCTCTTGTCTATTGTGGCTAAGTAGCAGAAGTTATCTTAAAGGACAAACTATGTGTTCAAGCTGAGGCAATGTCAAATTATGCTGCAAGTAGAAACAAATGATGTCACAGAGTCTTCAGAAACAATTACTAGAAGGTACCAGTTGCAATGTCAATGAATCATCATCTAATAAACACTATTACAATCTGGGAAAATAAGATTTCAATACTATGATTAAAACTCATAATCTAAAATTGCCGTGCCCTCTTAATTAGATGCAAAACTTTCATCTATCACTCCTTTACCAATTTCAAGGACGTCTTCTTCAATATCACAATCATAACCACGTAACCAATATTTTGTGGTAACCAACGCCTCAACATTCTTAGGCAAAAGCGCACTCCTATACTTGTTTAAAATATGACCACCCATGCTAAAAGAAGACTCAGAGGCTACCGATGTAATAGGAATGGCCAAAACATCCCTAGCCATAACAGCTAATATGGGGTACACACTAATTTGAGATTCCCAATCTTGAGAACATCATAATTCTGCCCTTTATAAGTTGGTTGCCAAGGAGTATTCAAATAAGAATCAATTTAATTTGATGGGCCATCCTCATCATCATCATCATCATCAACATACTAGAAAAGTTCAAACAAAATGCTTTTATTAAATTATAAAATTCAAACATACAATTATTAATTTTGTAAACCATAATAAACAGAAATTGATTACCTTGAATATATCATCATCTGAGTGACTATTTGATTTATCGATAACAGTTGGGATGGAGGGTGGAACAATTGTACTTGATTTAAAACCGGAAGACATAGAAGAATAAAATTTATACAACTCCAAAAGAGCATCTTTAATCACCTTCGCCTTTTCAACACATGCCTTGTCAACATAAAACACTTTTAACATCTTCGTCACTCGAACAAGCTTATAGCGAGGATCAAGAACAATAGCAATTGAAAGGATCAAACCATATTCATCCCAATAGCCCTCAAACTTTTCAAGCATAACTTTTGCCATGGGTGCAAGTTTAGGGTCTATATGGGCTTTACTTATTGTGTGCTCAATTTTTAAAACACTAGCAAAATACAAATTTGCAGTAGGATATTCTGAACCAGAAAATACACAGTGATTTCATAAAATGGCTTTAGGAAATGACATATTTTAGTAAGGGTATCCTATTCATCATCCAAAAGTTTGAATTCATAACCCATAAAACTATCGGTAACCAATTTCAAGGCTTCCTTTGCTTCTAAAGCATTTCGGATCATCGTATAGTTGGCATTCCAACGAGTCACAACATCAAGACGTAACTTTCCATTAAACACACAATTAACCTCATGAAGAGCATGCTCAAATTGAGTGAGTCTAGAGTCTGAAGAATCAATATATTTACAAACCTCACGCAGTTTTTGAACACTACTATCAACTTCTTTTAAACCTCTTTGAACAATAATGATCAAGACATGAGCTGACATTGAAAATGAAAAAATTTACCATTACAAGGAAGAGGAGAAGTCAACATTAAATCTTTCTTCAAAAGGGTAACCATAACATCCATGGATCGAGCATTATCAACAGTCATTGCAAAAGCTTTACCCTGAAGGTTCCACTCTCCAATAAGTTTTAACACAAATTTTTCTACCTTAACACCAATATGAGGAGGATCACAATATCTAAAATTCAGAATTTTAGACCTAAGACACCAATTTTTATCAACATAATGTACAGTTAAAGTGAAATAACCTCGAGTAGTGCATGTTGTCCACAAGTCACAAGTGAAGCTAACTCTACCTTCAATTCCAGAAAAAGATTGCAACAACAAAGACTTATACTTATCATGCTCAGCAATATAATATTTCAAAATAGTGTTTCTACACACATGCTTCACGTTGGGATTCAGATTCGTAAAAACTTCCCTAAGGCCATGATGCTCCATAATACTTAACGGATATGAATGCAAAATTATAGCTCTAGCAAGCAATTGTAAATGACGAGTTTGATTAAACGGGGGCTCAACACCACTTTCATGATTTCCAGGATGGTGTTGATTTTTACTCATGCATGTCTTAGCATGATCTTTACAAGTTGAAGTACCTGCCTTACCTGGTGTTTTATATTCATTACCGCAAACATTGCATCGAGCATATTTTATCGGAGCAAGACCAACCATCTTATCAAAAAAGGTGTAGTACCTCCAAACATTTGATGTTCGTCCACGCTTACTACCACTAGTGGTATGTTGAGTAGAATCTTGATTCTGAACAGTAGAATCCTCATCAAAACCATTAAAATCTTGCTCCATTGCTGAAAAAACAGAAACACAACAGTATAAATCAAGTGACAATATGATACTATATAATAATATACTTGTTTCATTATGAAATAAAATCTACAAACCAATCATATATATAAAAGTGGTTACATCTGAGAATCAAGGGCAGTCTTCAAAAGTTTAAACCAATGCAGCTAGTCAGAAAATCAAGAGTGGCAGTTGATTAGAAAATATGGGATATATACATGAGGTAAGCCTACCCCTAAACTTCCAACCCCAAGAACAGAAGTTTTGCCTCCAATGTCCTCTAGGACTTTTTAACCCTAAAATGTCAAGCTGATCACATTGTATAAGATGGATTACAGTCTTTACAGATGCAATTTAGTGCCCAACAAGTTCAGTCTTTTCCATTAAATCCATAAGAAGTGCTCGGTACACAGTGTATTAAATTGGAACCTAGACATTGGACTTCACTTTTTCACCCAATAAATCAGTTATTCTCTGCCCAAGGCTATGAAATGAAATTTTGGTATAAATAACATAAAACCAAGTCCACCACTTGCTTATTGTATGTTTGTTTGAAAGGTAAAACACTAAAACTAAACTGGCCAAAAGCTCATGACATCAACAAATTCTAGCATATTCAAACTTGGAATGGTGGAATGGGAGCACTGAATCTATGGCTTAGTAGTACAACAAAGAACTATCACACTAAAGATGAAAAGATTAAGAACATATACCTATCTACCTACAAAAATCATCCAAAATCTAATATACTCCAGTAGCCAAGACATACACTATCTACCTCTAATCTCAGCTTAAAGGTACATTCAATTGTAACTTTAATCTCAGCTCTTTAAGGGTGCATCGAGACACACTATCTACCTTCACCAAATCGATCCTTAAACAAGTCCAGTGTTCTACACACAAACACACCAGTGTTGTTTCAAAAATATCCATCTCACCCCAGTCACACCCCTCTCCAATTCAATATAATTGATTATCATGTCATTAAGCTTCTATATTAACACCATAATTTCTAAGCAGAATGATCTCATCAATAGTCTAAAGCCTTAAACCCTCTCAATAGGATCTCCACATGCAACAAATGAATTACAAACGATGATACGAACCAAAAAACACATTTTATGTAACAAAAACAACACAATAAGAATTAAAAAGAAAATATTGGAAACAAACCCTAGGTTTTGAAATTGATATTCAATGATTAAAAATGAAAAAAAATTGAAAAGAAAATATTACCTTGGAAGCCGTTACAATGGAGAGAAAGCTCAGGAGCCGCTTGAATAGTTGAATGAGGATTTCAGAGTACTTGATTTGAGGATGAAGAAGAAGAACCGAAGAATGAGTGAACTGTGGAACAAAACGGCTGAATGAAGAGGAGAGAGAATGATGAGAGATGGAGAGGACCTAACCTAATTGGCAGTATTCAATTTCATGTTTCACCTTTTTTTTCTTTTTTTTTTCTTTTGCATACAATATGAACCACATGTTTATTTAATTATTTAACAATCAATCAAAATATCTAAATTTTAAATCTAAAATTTGTTTTGCCTTTTGGTTTTTGGAGGGAAATTTCCCACCATTCATATTTAGATGAAATTGTCAACCAAAAAAAAATGAAATCAATTTTCCACTTTGTAAAAATAAAAAATTTTATGTTTATTTTAATAACATTCAACAAACTTTTATACAATTAATTAATTACATGGCTTAAAAAAAAAACTAATTACATTTCTCGAATCCCGATAAAACGATATATACCTTCATAATATCAGCAATACACTTGTAATCGTGTAAACTTATAAATGATAGAATTGACTAGTAGATTAGTACATAAATACAAATTACTTAATCATGAGTGATTGACTAATATGACTATATGAGCAATTGTCAATTTAGCATAGCAGACTATCCTACTCGGTAATATACTAATAACATTTCAGTATTTGATCTATTAGGCTCAAGTTAAAAGTTACTCTTTCTTATTAACTTGTTAGTCTAATTA